GCGACTCCACTTTCAAGAAACTATGAACCTGCACTCCAAGGTGTCTTTGTTCAGCAACACTCCCCAGGGCCTTAACATTAAGTGTATAAGTCCTGCCCTGATTTGTCTTTCCAAAATACAGCACCTCACATTTATATAAAAATTAAAATCCCATCTGCCATTCCTCGACCCATTGGCAAATCTGACTGAGATCCCATTGTACTCTGAGGAAACCTTCTTCACTGTCCGCTACACCTCCAATTCTAATATCATCTGCAAACTTAGTAACCATACCTTCTATGTTCACATCCAAATCATTTATATAAATGGCATAAAGCAGAGAACCCAGCACCGATCCTAGAAATGTTATTGTTACAATGCAATGCATTTGACAGACGAAAAAATGCAAAAGGAATCATTTCAAAAAGCCTAAGATCCATTTAATTAACTTGTTTAGCATTAATCAAAATTCAAACAATTGTCACATTTAACACATAATAACCAAGAATAGCAGTGTGCTACAGGTAGGATAACAGATGGCAGTAAGTCAAGGGAAATGGCGCTGATCACATTTTAGAAAGTCTACAGATTCGCGACACCAAACTGTTACTTTCAACTCACTGACAGACATTCATCGTTCCTTGAAATATGTAGACAACTGTTTAATCTTTGACTTGTGATTTATATTCCTTTAAAGAGCATTTGAACTTGATTGAAGGATGTTGGTGAGCAATATTTTAGGCGCTCAACTTCGATGTTGAGGCTTACCTAGTCAGTTGTATCAAAGACAAATACATAGAAATGCTTCCTTCACTGTGCCTGAGCTCTGACCTAGAGAACATCTCCTACTTTGACATTCAGTTCCTGAGTGGCAATGCCAATTATTACCGAGTTAGGCAGATTTATTCCGCAAGCTCACATTATTTCATGTATCTTACAGCCAGCAGGCAAAGGCAAGGGTGTTTCATCCTCTCTCTCTAGCCTAGATTTAATACCAGTGGTGAACGACCAATATTTAACATCCTCAATCATTTAGTTCTGCAAATTAATCCATGGTCTACACATTCAGGGTATAGCAAGTACACATGATATTGAGGAAAACATAATTATAAATGGCTGAAGAATTGATGTTAAAGGATAATGGCTAGCTCTTTAATATTACCAATTGATATGTCTTCAAAAATATTAACAGTTTCTCTCGCTATATTGGTCAGAAATATGGCATATAATTCAACAGATACTCTGTGCTACCCAAACTGAGTAAAGTACCCTTTCCATATACTGAAATTGTTGTTAGTCACATTATACCAGCACTTCAAATTCACAAAGTAAATTCCTCGATAATATTTTAACATACATTGGAGGGGATTCGCTGGGTATTCAGGGAAACCCTCTTCATAGTGTGAAACAACAGAGTCATTACCTTAGAACTTCAAGGAATGAACAAGAGTAAGCATAAAATTTTCACCATTTACTATAATCTACAGTCCTACAACCATTTGATGGCTGCTTGAAGCCATTGTACACAAACAACAAGATATTTTGATGTCAATATATTAAGCTCTGAAGGGAATTTATTCATGACAAAATACACCAGGAAGGCTGCAGCGGATCAAGAAGACAACTCACCACCTTCTTCTCAGGGTAATGTGGGATGGACAATGCCACATCCAAGATAAGACAAATACCAAATGATCACATATAATCAAATAATATTCTAAAATATAACCATATTGATTCAAGTACAATACCATATTTGTGATATTCTTCTCTAGCAAAATTAACAGAATAGATAAATCAAAGCCTTATATGTTCAAAATTCCATAACAAGTGGATACTCCTCAATCTGAGAAGACAAAAGACGCGCCAAGAATTTGTTGGATATTTAAGGGAGACAGATCAGTTTTCTCATTCCTACATTTTTGTTTGGAATATACAATAAAGGGCCACCAAACGGCCACATCATCTGGTTTCATGAAAACGCTAACATTGATATTTAGTTCTTGACAGAACCTCAGTGCAGGCTATCAGAATAGGCACAAAGTTGATAACACAACCAAATTAAATTGTAAACGATTATAGTTGAGGAATTGTTTAACATGTTTGCAAAACACTCTTTTGTCCATCATTTTACCAAAGACACTAACCAATTTAAAACTAATGGCATAAATCCCACTTAAAATAGCGAAAGGAATACTGTAGGAATATTTTCAAATTTCCAGTGGTTTAACTTCACAATTTATTTCTAAACAGCACACACCCCCACATGACAAATATCACTATACCTTCATGCTACTAACATAACCATCACAATGTGCCTAGTTTGAATGTTTTCCCATCCATCAACTTTTCATCTGCGTTTTTTGGGACAGTACACAGGATAACGTGGATTTCAATGGTACACACAATAAGTATGTGGGGAAAAATTAAACTACAACATTGTTCCAACAAAGCATAATTCACTTAGAGAATATTGCATTGGAGAATAAATGTTGGCTTTGATGTTTGTAGCAATAGGGGAATTTCATGACCATCATATTTACACATGGCTGTCAGCACACTATCATTGGGGGACCATTTGCAAATTGCAATATCATGCAAAAGGTACCGATTCCACAGTCAAATTGCATTTGCCCACCCTACAGCTACAGAAGCTGAGAATGGTGACGCCACTTTGAGCAGTTAGTTTCCTGTTATTTAAGCTTCACGTGCAGTGTGCTGTCTTCCCAGGTACAAGAAGCCACATTTCTAAATTCCCTAGGTGCTTCAATCACGGACCTTTTAGGAAATTTGCTAAAAATATGTCTGGAATCTTTTTCAATCTTTTGAGAGAGTATTGTCTCTGATTTTCCATTGTTTTCTCAAATTGCATCATAAAGACCCAGCAGCAGGAGCTCAATGGATACGTATTCAAAAACGTAAAAATGATTAAAGTTCAGCAAGCACGTGCAACAGCCTAATGCAGGATTTTGCATGGAAAATGTTATGTCACCTAGGACTTGTGACTTTACAGAACCACTCTTTATACTAATGATATTTCTCACATCCTGAGTACCATAATTTGATACAGGACAGACACCAGGTTATTCATTTCTAACTTATTTCTCTGTACAATTTGATTGCTCACAACAGGCATTGGTAACAACCAGCAACGCACTGCTGGAAAAGTTAAATTGAGAATTATATTCAAAATGCTATCATTTTCCCCAAAACCTAAATATTATAAATATTTCATGTGTTGACTGCCTCAGGCTGAGTTGATACTGACCTGAGTTTTGTAATTGTTTGAGATTATCATTAATGTAAGGGCTTGAGACATGAATTATGTTGCTATCTCTTCTTGTCCCACCTCCAGTGGATCTGCACTGCAATAATTCAATGAACAGAAACATCTGGGCTGCAGTTGCTATGATATTCACAGCCATGGTAAGGATCAAGTGCTTACTAGCTGAACATATCCAGTAACTGCAGGATCTATTTTACATACAGCTATGTACCAACAGACCACGACCCCATCAAAAAATATACAAATGGTTGCAAAGAAAAATTGTACATAAACTACTTGATCAATGAGAAAATAATGTTTCTTGCTCAGATTAGAGAAGCAAAACTACAAGATGCTAGAATTAATCATTTCTCTTTGCTGAATAGTGGTGCTTGCTGAATTATGTCATTATTACATATTAGAACCAAATTAAGTAAAATTTTAATATGTTCAAAGAAAACTACAATTATATAACGCCCTCCACAACACAAACATGTTCTGCATACAATGAGTTACTCTGACGCACAAACGCTGCAATGTAGGTAAGTAAATTTTGTTCAGGTAAATCCCACTCTCAACAATGAGATGGATGCCAGTTAAATCCAGGATGTTGGTGAGGGAATAGTGCGAACTGGGATAAAGCTTCAATGGTGGCATATGTCCTGCTTTTAAGTGGCTCCTGTCTGGTAAGAACCTGATGGGACAGTTAGCTGGAGTAAAGCAAATCATTCCCCTCTCCGATCACGCAGCCACATCAAGATATTGACTTGTTCTCTTGAGTAAAATGCCTAAAGAAAGGAAGCAGGTTCCTATGTTAAATACAGAGGTCTGGTCTAATGTTGCTATCAGAATTTGTCACTTTGGTTGAAGGTCTGAGTAAACGTGACAGAATTGATTTTACCCTCAGGGTCAATGTCAAGAGTTAGCTTGTGGGCCCCCAGAACAAAAGTTTAAATTTGACTTTAGGTCATGTTGTGAACAAGAAGGGTAGTTGTGCTTCCTTGGGCATTACTAAAAAGTCTTCCATTCATCGGGTTGCTTCCTCCCTACTCCTCATTTCCGATCCATGCCAAGAAAATTCACCGCATCCCAATCAGTGCCCGGGACTTTCTCCAGCTGCCAGGGCGTCAAAGACTGTTCAGGTCATTCCCCAGCTGTCTCTTCCTCTCACCAGATTTATTTCATTCTTTCACTTCGCCCAACTCAAATTGTCCTTGAATGGAATGCACTGCTGGGCCACTTTCAGATTATTTAAATATTAACTCGTGTTAAAATCAGCAGGCTTCTTTCTCCTGAGCCTTGGTGTTCTTGTTGCCCACTATTGGGGTCCAGTGCATCCTGGTGAACATGCAGGCTAAACTGTCAGCAAAGAAACTCCGAATAATACATGGTGCACCTCCCATGTACCTTCCTTCAACTGTGGCCAGGTAGCAACATTCCCACCATAGAGTAAGAAGATTATGAGTTCAAGACTTAATGCAAAGAGTTGGGTCTCTAGGCTGCCATGCCCAGGAACTGGACACTGTCAAGCACTTTGCCAATACTTTCTGATAAATTGCAACATGTTTCAACAAGTACTCCAAATGTTACCCATAATTGGCCGTATATTTTGCTTTTAACGTAATTATAACGTAATGAATGGCCACTAGAAAAGTGATGAATAATTAACCATATCTGAATTGTGTCCAGTTGCCAACAATAGTCTTCATTGTACAATAGCAGAAAAAGGCAAGACATATATGGAACTGAAACTTACCAATGCACAGAGCAGATCAACTGCTTCCAAGATAAGTTCCTGATGGCCAATGCGTGTGACACCCAACTCCTCCAGCTCCTGATGTGTGATGTGTAAAAGCTGATCTCCATTGATCTTTTCCCTTTCAAAGTTTTTTATATACTGTTGGAGGCAGTCATCGAGTCCTGTGCAGAACATTGAAACAAAAAAACCATGAGTACTGCAATGATTATCATGGAGTCACATTGCATAGAAGGAGGCTGTTCTGCCTATTGTGCCTGCGACAGCTCTCTGAACAACCATCCAATTCATCCCATTTCCTTTCTCTTTCCCTGTAGCCATGGAAATTTATAACTAATTCATTTCGAAGCTGACTGCAGATTCTACTTCTGTCACTCTTGGAAGTTCTGCTTTTTAGCTTATAGCAGTCTTTTTCTTACATTAGGATATGATTTGGATTGCAACTATTACAACCTAATTCTGACCCACCATGTTCCTCTGAAAATGACCATGCTGCAGTGTCAAGTGAATAGGGCTACTTATTTTAAAACAGCTGATGCCACAGTCAGATATCGGTGTATAAATTCATTACAAAGAGAGAAATTACAAATTCAGGTGTTTCCAGAACATGCATGTTGCCAAACAGGTTGGAAGGTCATGTTGCCATAGCTCCAGAGGACCATGGGAATGATCGCTCAAGAAAGACAACTGGTGGTGGTAATCACCACACCTCAGGCAAAAGGCACTGCTGAGAAGGCAGGACTTTTCAGGTGACTGTAGTGATTGTAACAAGGTCAGCCAGAATAGGAGTTCCCTGATTGATGCTGTCAATCTGGTCCAATCAGGGAGCCCTGGCTGACAGATATAAACAGGAGTGTCAGGGGTTCTGCTCGCTCAAGGAGCTGGCTCTGAGCTAGCTGGGTCAGTGTCATATACTATGCACATGTAAATAAAGGGTGACTTGGTGACAGGATACCGCTTTTTGTGGAGTTATTTCAGTGATCTCAGTTCATGCAGGAATTGAATCCATGTGGTTGGCGTCACTCTGCATCACAAATCAGCCATCCAGCCAACTGAGCTAACTGACCCAAACAGGCTGTACACACAAGACAGTTAGCCTCTAGCATCTCTTAAGGACATGTATGTACCAGAACACAACTGAAATGTGTGCTTTCTGGCAAACATTTCAGAATGTTATATGAATCTTGCAAAAATAAATATTCAGTGATATTCACAGTCAGAATCAGAGGTGCTAACTACCAGGCATCTTCACTTCTTTGTTGCCAAGTCCCATTTCCACAGGGCAATGACTGATGCTGGCTATAATCAGATACTTTGGCAGGAAAATATAAACACAGCAGTATGAACAGTTTACTTTTTATATCAATGACAAGAAACAAACCGTTCCTAACACAACGTGTTACCATGCTTAAATTGAAATACTACTGATTGAGGCCTCCACATCTTTTGGGTGAGCCACAGCTAATTATTGGCAAATGAGCTGCGACCAGATGCATGAGCTTCTAATTCTATTCTGATCCTACTTTGTCCCTTTACAACCATTACAACTGAGATATAACCACCTTAATAATCTCTAGCCTCCTATTCACCTAGCAAATTAAATTTTAAGCTTGGCAAGAAAACATTTCATGCAGAACGACTGACAGGGGATAGGAATGTGGAAGAAGCACAACAAAGGGATGTAGATATTTTTCTAATCAACCTGTTCAGAGATTTTACACATCCCTGATACAGGTGGGGCTTGAATCCAGGCCTTCTAGCTCAAAGGTACTGCCATTACCACTGCACTACAAGAACTCCACAAAGATATGTAGGTGTTCTCCTTACCAATCTATTCAGAGATATTATTATGCACTTCAAGAGTAGGTGGGATTTGAACATAGGTCCCCTGATGAAGAGATAAGGACACTACCACTGCACCACTCCAGCTCCTTCACAGGTATGTATTATGATTCCTGCAAATGTGTTCCACTTATCAATATTGTTGAAATCAATTCCAATTGAGGCACAAACGGTCAAGCTGATCTCCCAAGGTATGCTCACAAGATGTTTGAGGGCATGCTGCTGTATGGACGTGTGAGCAGACTGCAGTTTGGAAAATAGATGCTTGACTTGTAAATATCTATGAGGGGTCTAGACACCATGGACCAGAATCTCAACTGGACCAGTCAAATAACTGCCTTGGCTCCTTCAGCAGGTAATAGGGCTTGTGCATTCTTCACCTCCTCACTCAGCAAAATTTCTCCAATTCAGACTCTCCACCTGCCTGTACTCCCAAAGAACACATAAGATGCTTGACGCCATTCAAATTTGCAAAAATGTAAGAGAGCTTTCATTCTGCTGCTTTACGAGCTGTGATCAAGCTGCAAATTTAGAACCCTCAACTGAGAGAATTGCGAGTGTTAAAACTCACCCAGGCTTGCATGATACAATTTAAAGAATGGGACATGTGATGGAAAACTTCACATGTTTCAGGATATAGATCATAATTCTCAGCAAAGCCACTTTTGGAATATTGAGTTCAATTCTGGTCTCCCTGCTATAAGATGGACAATGTGAAATTTGAAAGGGTTCAGAAAAGATTTAGAAACAGGGAGATGACTGTTAATCCAGAGACCCAGATAACCTTCCATGGACCTGGGTTCAAATCCCTCCATGGCAGATGGTGGAGTTTGAATTGAATTAAAATCCGGAATTAAAGAGTCTAACGATGACTGTGAATCCATTGTCAATTGTTGTAAAACCCATCTGATTCACTAATGTCCTGTAGGGAAGGAAACTGCCATCCTTACCTGGTCTGGCCTACATGTGACTCCAGACCCACAGCAATATGGTTGACTCCTAACTGCCCTCTGGGCAATTAGAGATGGGCAATAAATGCTGCCTAGCCAGCAATGCCCTCATCCTGTGAATGAATTAAAAAACAGGATGTTGGAGGCTTTGAGCTATTGGGAGAAGCTGAATAGGCTGGAGCTATTTTCCCTGGAACGTCAGAGGCTGAGGGGTGATCTTATCGAGGTTTATAAAATCATGAGGGGCACAAACAGGGTGAATAGCCAAGGTCTTTTCCCTGGGGCAGGGGAGTCCAAAACTAGACGGCATAGGTTTAAGGTAAGACGGAATAATTTAAAAGGGGCCTAAGGGGCAGCTTTTTCGCACAGAGGATAGTGTTTTATGGAACAATCTGCCAAGGGGAGTGTTGGAGGCTGATAAATTTGCAATATTTAAAAGGCATCCGGATGGATACAGGAATAAGAGGGGTTTAGAGGGATATGGGCCAAATGCTGGCAGGCGGGACTAAATTAATTTAGGATATCTGGTCAGCATGGACAATTTGGACCGAAGGCTCTTGTTTCCATGCTGTACAGCTCTTTGACTCTGTAACTCCAAAAATATATTCCATTGAGAAAGAAAGGCTCTATGAGAGGGATGCAACACTGAAGGAAGTTAAGGATAAGATACTATTGAAAGAAGAAAAGCGGATAGCACAGCAAAGAATAGTAATAGGTCAGAAGATTGGACAGGTTTGAGAAAACAGCAAAAAAATGGCTAAATAAATAACAAGGAGGGAGAAGATTGAGAGAAAGCTATCTGGAAATATAAAAACAGAAAGTCAGATTTTCTACAAGTATTTTGAAAAAAAAAATAACTAAAGAGACTGCTGGTCTTTTAAAAGGTGAGACGAGGGGCCTAATAAGAAAAAAAACCAAAGAAATGGCAGAAGTGTTGAACAGGTATTTTGCGCCTGTCTTCACTGTTGAAACTAAAATAAAACCCAGGAACACTTGAAAATCATGAGGTTAAGGGGTAGGAGGAACTTAATCACTGGGGAAATATCACTGGCAAAACGATGAGAACTAAATGCTGATTGGCTCCCTGGACCTGATGAACTACATCCCAGTGTCTGAAGGTAAGTAGCTGCAGAGATAATAGATACATTGGTTGTGATTTTAGGCGACACGGTGGCACAGTGGTTAGCACTGCTGCCTCACAGCGCCAGGGACCTGGGTTCGATTCCAGCCTCGGGCAACTGTCTGTGTGGAGTTTGCACATTCTCCCTGTGTCTGCGTGGGTTTTCTCCGGACGCTCCGGTTTCCTCCCACAGTCTAAAGATGTGCAGGTTAGGCGGATTGGCCATGCTAAATTGCCCGTAGTGTTCAGGGAGGTAGAGGGTGTATATTAGGTGGGTCATAGGGGGATGGATCTGGGTGGGATGCTCTGAAGTTTGGTGTGGACTTGTTGGGCCGAAGGGCCTGTTACCACACTGTAGGGATTCTAATTCTAATTCTAAATTTTCCTAAATTCTAGAACTGTCCCAAAAGATTGGAAAATTGTAAATGCAACGCCTCAATTCAAGAGAGAAGAAAAACAGGAAACTATAAGCTACTGAGCACAACATCTGTCGGAGGGAAAGTGCTATAATCCATTATTAAGGAGGTAACAGCAGGACATTTTGTGACTGGGAAATCTTGTTTGACTAATTTACCCCAGTTGTTTGAGAAATTAACAAACAGCGTAGATAAAGGAGACATGGTATACTTAGATTTTCAAAAGGCATTTGCTAAGATAGGAGGCAATGGCCTCGTGGTATGATCTCTAGTCTATTAATCCAGAAACTCAGCTGTTCTGGGGATCCCAGGTTCAAATCCTCTCGATGGTAGAATTTGAACTGAAAACGAAAAGAGTCCAGAATTAAGAATCTATTCACGACCATTAAACCATTGTCAGAAAAACCCATTTGGCTCATTAATGCTGGGAAATCTACCATCACCACCCAGTCTGGCCTACATGTGACTCCAGACGCACAACAATGTGATTGACTCCTCAACTACCCTCTGAAATGGCCTAGCCAGCCACTCATTTCAAAAGCAGTTAGGGACAGGCAATAAATGCTGGCCAGCCAGTGACACTCACATCCCATGAGTGAATAAAGCAAAGATTAAAGATGTGACATCAAAGGTTACTACACAAAATTATAAGGTGACATATTCACATGGACGGAGCTCTGGTTAGCTAACTAGATGCATAGAATAGGAATATAAGCGGTAATTTTCAGTTTGGCAAGGTGTAGCTAATGGGGTTTTCTGGGGGGGGGGGGTGCAACAACTATTTTTAAATTGTAACAATAACATTAATGAATAAACTGAATGAATTGTCACCAGAT